TTCCCCAGTTGGCTGGTGTCCCCAGCAGGTGGTACGGCTGGCGGTTGGGGCCCACGGGCAGTGACAGCGGGGCCAGAGGTGCCAAGCCGACGGCCACCCGTCAGGGCTGGGAGCTGGTCCCAGGGGCAGTCAGGGCAGGAAGGACCAGTGGCTCTGGGGGCTGGGGCAGGGTGGGGGGAGCCCGAGTAGCCTGAGGTGGCCGCGGGATTCTGGGCCGGGTGCTTATGTACCAGAGTCATCCATTCACCCCTTAGGGCACGTACGACAGGTGGCACAGCTCGGTCAGCGCCCAGCCGGCTCCTAGCTGGGGCCTCCGGGCTGAGCTGTGAACTGGGCCGTCCACACGCTGGGGAGCCAGGTGCAGTGAGCAGGGGGGTGTGGGATCGCTCCCCACTTTCTCTCCCTGGCCTCTGTTGCAGAGAAGTGAGTCCGTGTGGGTGGGCAAGAAGGCCGCGGAGCCTCCCGTTTGGATGAAGTGTGCTCAGGGAGGGAGGGGGAAGGACAGGGTGGGAGGGCTCCACGGGGCTGGAACGTGGCAGGGCTGGAAACCACGCTTCTTGGCTCCTGGGCCACCTCCGTGCCCTCGCTGACCACCAGCCTCCCCAGGGAAGGCAAATCCTTCTGTCCTCATGTGCTGGGACCCAGGCAGGCAAGTCCTTCTCTTGCTGTCTGCCTCCCATTCTCCTGGGGTTCCTGGTGTTCAGAACAGGCCCACAGGGAAATGATCGGGGACTGGCTTCCCTGGAGGCAGGGCCCAGTCCCCGGGATCAGCCACGCGGGCCTGACCCTGACCCTGACCCTGACAAGGGACAGCCACACTCGGCCCAGGCACCCAGGATTGCTGCTGGCTGTGCGGGGCTCAGAGCGAGGCCCGGGGTTCCTGGGGACAGGCCTCAGCACGCATGATACTGGTTTATGGCGGCTTTTCAAATTACGGTTCTAGATGAGGTGACCCTGGGCCGGGCGCTTATGTACCAGAGTCATCCGCTCATCCCTTAGAGTATCTGATGAACATCGGTGCACATTCCAGGAGGGCGAAAGCTTCAACTGGCTGGCACCCTGAAACGGGCAACGCTCAGCTCAGCCCAACCACAAGCCTAGCCGTTGGGGTCTCTGCTAATGATGCCGCCTAAGGCCTGCAGGGGGCCGCGCCGCTGGGGGGCCCGCCTGGGAGCCCAGGCTGCCCCCCCTCCCCATCCGCAGCTGGCCTGGGCTCTTGCCCGGCTGCCCTCCAGGAGCCCTCCACCCAGAGTGACTACAGAGAAAGTGGCCTCCTTGGAGCGGAGGGACTCAGAAGAGGGTTTCCTGCCAGCGCTTGGGATGCTCTTCTCGTTTCCCAGTTCAGCGAAATCCCAGCTTCCCAGGCAAGCGAACTTTCTTTCCCTCCTTCCCACTGCCCCTCCCCTGAGGTGAACCAGGGGTGCGATTATTCACCTGGGGACCTGCAAGCAGGTGTCTCCACCTGGACGCTTATGAGAAAATTGCCTCCTCCCTGCTCATCCCAGGAGGGCTCCTGGTTGGGGGAATCAGACGAAGAAAGGACATTATCCTTTCTTTTCACACCCATTGGCCCTGGGGCAGATAGACACAGGATGTCCTTGTCCGGTGTCCTTGAAAACAGGCAGGGCCTGGGCTTTCCTGGTTGGAGAGGCAGGTTTGGTTTCTCTCCCCACTTGAGACAGCCGGGAGCTTGGTTTTCGCAGGGGTGGGGTTGTGGTTCAGAGGAGACTGGGTGGAGAATCGGGAAACCAAAATCGGTTCTGGGTAAGAGGGACAAGGGACCTACCCGAGACTGGGATTAGGGGTGTGTGATTGTTAGTGATCGTGACGGTCCCGTTCATCACGACGGCGCACATCCCCCTTCGACACTGCTCCACCTCTGAGAGCAGCCTCCTCCGTGGGAGAAGCTGTGTCCCCCAGCAGCCTCGTTGGAAGGTCATCAATGCTGGTGTTTACGGACGAGGGAGGAAAGACCCAACGTGCTCAGCACCACAGAGAGATCATTACGTGGCCGCCAGAACTTATAGAACACCTGGAGATAGTGGGCTAATATTTTTAGCCCAACGCGGTCACAGCTGAAAAGCTTGTTGTCTGAGTCCACGGAGACTGGGTCTCACAGCTGCCCCTCCCCGCAAGCTGCACTCAGCCCTGGGACCTTCCCCGTTGCTTCCCATGTGCCTCTCGGGGTGTCTGGTCCCAGGCACGCTTCTGCCAGCAGCTCGGCGAGCCCATCCGCCGGGGATGTGTGGTGGGGGGCGGGAGCAGGTGTGCAGCCGTGGGGCAGGCACGGTCCTCACTGTCTTCCCATCCCCCCATCTTGGGGGTCCCATCGTGGGATCGTCCCACATCCCCCGCTGTGCGGGCTGGGAGAGCGTCCAGGTGTCCCGAGGTGAGGACAAAGGGCGGCATCACTGTATCCGGCTCCGCGAATCCACAGGCTACCAGTCCACAGATCTTTGTGGGCCAGCGCCAGGAATGAATAGGTACACCAGCGAACCGCTTTGAACACGTGTAAAATGGCCGGGAGATCAAGTCTGTGGATTCGGGAGCCAGGCCCAGGGGCGTGTGCCGGGGAGACGTGACTGCTCTGCGGGGTGGGGGGGCAGGGCACGTGTGCAAGGACAGAAACTTGCCAGAAGGTTCTTGCCCTGGCCATGGGAAGGGGTGCAGGGGTCCAGACCAGTGGGGGCGGTACTGGGGCAAAGGGAAAACACCACAAGCGGGTGTGAAGGAGAAATGGGAAGATCTGGAAGCAGACTGGAGTCCGAGTAGGTGGGTTTCCAGGGCCTGGAGGAACGGGGGTTTTCAGCACGCGGTGGTCGGGCAGTATCCGGGTGGAAATGTCCTCCAGGACGAGGAGGTGAGGCCTGGGGCCTGGGCAGGGAGTCAGGACAGGTGGAGTGACAGAAGAAGTTGGGGCGTGGCGAAATCGGCGAGGTCTTCCTGGGCAAGTGTGCGAGCTAGGTCCTGGCAGTGGGGTGTCACCTCACCTCTGCCCCAGCTTGGCTCGCGTCAGGCCGGCCTCCGTGCCGCCCCGTGGTGAGTCAGTGGCCCTTGCAGGCGTCTTGTGCTGACCTCCCCCGCCATTAGCTCCTGCCGACTCTCTGCTGTGCCCCTGGCTCCTGTCCCTGAATGCGGGCCTCTGGCTTCCCTCCGCGGCGAGGTCTCCTCGCCCTTCCCAGCATCCCTCCATCCCCCCGTCAGGCTCCGTGGGGTCTGCATGGGTCGCGTGTGCAGCGCGTCTAGCTCCGTGAGCGGGGCACGGTGACACTCGCCGCGAGACCGGCGACTTGCGCAGACTGCGCCTGCGTGAGCCAGCTCGTCTGTGCGCTGTGGGGGGAAGAACGAAATCGGCGCTATCTGGCAGCTTTTCCTGGGAAAACCCAGTGTTCTCCAGTGCGGAGGGTGGCTTGGGGTTGAGGGTTTGCCCTCAACCGGGGGTCAGGGGTCGGGGCGATCTGTACGTACCAGGTGAGCTCCCAGAAGAGGGTGGGTCCAGTCCAGTTGCCGCATGGGGAGGACTGAGATGGCCCCACAGTCCCCCAGCCGCGCCGCGCTGGCCGTGCTCATGAGACGGGCCGACGCCGGGGAGAGAGGGCCAAACCCAGTTCCGCTGGCCCCCAGGCTGGCTGTGCCGACGGTGCCCCGGGGCCACAGAGCTGGCCCTGTCAGCCGGACTCCTGCGCTCCTCGATCCGCGTGGGTCAGCACGTTCGTTCTCGAGCAGATGCGAGTCAGGAAGGTGCCGTTTGCTTACAGAATGCATCTCTTACACGTGTGCCTCGCATGTGTGTATTTTTTATGCGTATCTCCCTGTGCATGGTCATCTGGGGCAGCCAACCCCCTAGACCAAAGGGAGGGGTGAGGGAGCCCAGAGTCGTAAGTGGTACCCAGAAGGGACGGTGTGAGGCCGTCTGTTCCCGCCCACAGAAGGCCTGGTGGGTGAGCGCAGGCTGGGGCCCTCACGCCAGCTGGCCGTGCCGCGGTCCCATGTCCCGGGTCAGCTCAGTGTATCTCGTGCTCGCTCAGTATCTACTAAGTGCAAAGAGCTTTGCACGCCGGCTGAGAAGAGGCAGAGCGGGGGCTGGGGGGTGTGTTGGGGGAGGGAGGAGGGTGCTGACTCAGCGGGGGAGGTCAGGGAGCACGCTGTGGGCCTGGGGCCGCAGGGGGTGTGGGTGCGGGGTGGGTGGTCTGGGCTCCGCTTCCCTTAGGAAGCGGCATTAGAGATGAGCCCCCAAGGCTGTCTGGATTTTTCTAGGAGCGCGGAGCATACGTGCTACGTACATGGGCCTATGTGAGGGGGAGGAGGATGACTTCCCTCTCCAACTTGGGGTGTCTTCACTGGTCTGGGGACCAGTTTCTCCTTTACAGCTGCTGTGATCTCTGTTACAACTTTGATTTCTGTTAAACACCCTGGGGAGTTCATGACTTGAAGCTCTTTTTACCATTAATCCCCGCGTGGCTGCTCTGGGGGCTGGGGAGCTCGGTCTTCCTGCTGGTCCCCCAGCTTTGGCCCGTTCCTGGTCCCGGCTGGCCTCTCTCTCCTCCTTCGTCATTGCCGGTCATTCTCTCGGGCCCCCCCGGGCCACCCACATCACGCGAGTTGCTGTTTCTTGATGCTTCCCTGGCCCGCCTCCATTTGAAACAAATACACACGTTTGCTGTAGGTTTGTGAGTGTGTGTAGGAGGGTACGTAGGGACTGGGAAGCCAGGAGCAGGGCAGTTACAGAACCGTGGAGGCCCTCTGGGGGTGTCTCCTCCCTCCTTCCGTGACCACGCAGGGGTGACCCCCAGAAGCAAGGGCCCCAATCCGGTAAGTAGGTGCTGAGAGCCTGTGTCTGTTGGACTTAGGTATAAAGTATGGCTCCGGGACCCCGACGAGGAGAATGGAGCAGAGCTGGGCCACAGTGCCAGGGCGGCCTCGGGGTCGCCAGCATGGCTTGTGGGATGGAGTGACTCTCCCTCCTGCTGACGCAGGCCTATGTCTCTGCTCCCCTGCAGCTGGTGCTTCCGGAATACTCCATCCACAGCCTCTTCTGCATCATGTTCCTGTGCGCTCAGGAGTGGCTCACCCTGGGGCTGAATGTCCCTCTACTTTTCTATCACTTCTGGAGGTGAGTCTGCCTGGGACTGCTCTGGGCTCCCTCCTTTCTGCGTGGGCGGCCGGTCCTCAGGGACACTGTCCCCCAAACAGACCGGCCGCCTGTGCCTCCCTCTCTTCCCTGCCCTTCGGAGACCCGTTCTCCACGGCCTTCTTCCCAAGCCACTCCCAGACGGCGGCCCTTCTTACCGGCTCCGTCCCTCCGGGATCAGTGTTAAGAGCCCCTGCAGCAGGATTCACAATTGTCCCCAAATGGAAACAATCCAGATTGTTGCCAACAGAGCAATGGATAAGCAAAACACGGCATGTCCTTGCAAGGGCGCGTGATTTGGTAGTAAAAGGCCATGACGTACTGACACGCGCTGAGACACGGATGAGCCTCGAAAACACGACAAGGGAAAGAAGCTGGTCACAACAGGCTGTTTATGTGAAAGGTCCAGAATGGGCAACTCTGAAGAGAAGGGAAGTAGGTGGGTGGTTGCCACGGGCGAGGAGGGGATGGGGACAGGGGACGGGGGATGGCTGATGGGGACGGGGGATGGGGACGGGGGACGGGGACAGGGACGGCTAACAGGGACAGGGGACAGGGATAGGGGACAGCTGACAGGGACGGCGGACGGGGAGGGTGGATGGGGGACGGCTGACGGGGACGGGGCATGGCAGATAGGGACGGGGGATGGGGATGGCTGATGGGGACGG